TAACTGGAAAAACCGAATGAAAAAGAATGTTAACAAAACAAATACTTTTCACACCCAACCCAGTTCTGCGGAATCAGAATCAACGTTGAGTTTAAGCAAGCGAATGAGCCAATTGGAGTAAAAAGTGCCATGCAGATTTAAATTTTTCCACTTGTGACGAATGCGCTATCGATTTTTTTGCATGTATGCTAGATTAATATTCGTGTCAGTCAGCTGTTGGCTCTCACGCTGGCCAATAGAATCTTCCTGTCTATTCGTGGCAGCCAGCTAGGGCTCTCACTCTGGCCAGTAGAAAATGTCTGCAAACTATATGAAAACTGCCGTAGAAGCATGAAAAATCGATTATTTCCACTGTCGATGGAAGTTGGAAATTCAAAGTATGGTCTTGGCCTTCCCGCTAACTGGAGCATGTGCATGTAAATTTTGGTGCAAATCCGTCGAAAATTGCGGCCGCGCATTCGTTACACACACACGCGCACATCCTGCCTGTTATATATAGAGATGCTAAGCGAATACAGAGAAACCTCAAAAGAAGATAGACAAAAAAATAGTTTTCTTAAGATTGAATTTTAAATTTCTGGGGCCCGTCCGTAGAAAAGATTTAAATTTGACCCTCGACAGGGGCACAATTAAGGCATATGTGGTAGAAGGAAATGAATTTGTAAATCGATGACATCATTACCATAGTTTAGTTATAATGTCATGCATCCAAACTTATAACTACAGAATGAACTCTTTAATACACTATGTATACTACGCCTCTCAAGAGAGGGGACGAAAAGTCGAGCTTCTCGGCGACGGTCGAACTCTCTACCTCACATCTTTTTTTTAAACCGGACGAGGCTCCGCTGAAAGGCAGAGTTTCGTTGGGGAGTTGACAACCTGATCCCGTTTATACGGGTTCTACGGGCATTTTTTGGCCGAGCCTACGGGCTCTGAAACTTTGGGTTAAACTCGGCCTTGTGCCCATGCAACCCTCCTAAATTGGATGGCTAGATACCGAATCAAACCGAGCCGATAGTAGTTCACTCCAAACCAGACTGACAGTCATACTAACACCTTCCACATCTTGTATTATTATTTCGTGTAATATACCTTCGTTATTTCTACTCTTGTGTTCGTGTTGTTCTTCCTTGGTCCTAACCTGGACCATAACAGCCAAAAAAATTTTATTGCTGCCAATGATGTAAAAAAGAAGTCGTGGAAGTTATGATCTAGTTATAACATGATGGTGGGCACATAAAAAGAAAATATTTGGGTATTCTTCTTTTGCATTTATATATAACACATAACTTTATGGATTTATATTGATTCACCCGGAAACCACTATAACGTTTAAATATTTTATATAGACTGCCGTCTTTTTTTATATATTTAACTTATTAAAAAAAAAAAGATGATGGTTTGACGGATATATTCAATTTTTGGTTAACAAAAGAGAATCGTTCCTTGATCTATATATCCGGTTTCAGTAAGCCCGGTTTTATTAAAGAAAAAAATAAGGGAAGTGTCATGTTGAAAACAAATGAAATATTTTATTTTTATCCTCTCTGCGCATGCGTGCTTTTTAGTGTGCGTCATTTGAGTGCCGTCGTCAACATTAATATAAAATGTGCGAAATTAATTCTTTTTCTTTCCAGCAAATCAGTTCTCGTGGTAGATTTTTTTTGCCAAAATGATTAAAGTCGGTTTTTGAAAGGTATTCTTTATTAGTCGTATGAATTTGGTACACTGTTTTCAGACTGGTTTGTAAAACATCTCTTCCTCTCTTTCTCTCATTATTTTTTTTTAACTGCTATCGTCTTTCTTTCTTTCTGAACCGTCTTAGCCTCTGCGCTTCGACGTGACAGAGAAACCGATAGACTTATTGACTGATCCATAGACAGTAATAATGAGACTGGAAATTACTGTCCAGTTGTAAAGACGTCGATCAAATGTTATAAAAAAACATATTGATGTTAGGTTGTGTGGTAAGATTATGAGCTTATAGTGAAAGATGGTAAATGGTAATATTAAGTGTTTCCTTATAAGAAAATATTCGGAATTCATTGGCCGAGCAACAAATATTGTTTTCGGTTGAAATTTATAAAATTAACAAAATATTTCTCTTAAAACAATCTTTCAAGAAAATATGTTTCTTAATTTCACTGTTATCACTCTTCCAGTACTGATTGGGATTTCCTTCCTAACTATTCTTTGTTTGCATTAATGTACTACATCCATCTTGATTATTTTCATTATCCCTTCTTCAAGTTACATGTGCTAATCATTTTAGTTGTTGCCGCTGTTGAAAGTTCTTAAGTACCTTGGTTTCTGTTTTCTTCTGATACAATTTCGACACAAGCCACCGCATTTAAACATCGGTTTCCATAAGTTCATGACAAGTTATTTGTCTGTCGGCCTGGTCAGCCGTCTATGGGTGACCACTTCGATTACCAGGTGCTCAAAAAAAAAAAGGTGGTGTAATCGATAAATCCTTGAATTGTTAATTTAGCCGTATTCTTAAATCAAATGCCCTTTTTCTTGTATAAATCACTTCTTATCCCCCAATTATAGGTTAATTAGTAAAGCTAGTATCACTAACAGTATTTTTATTTTAAAAAAATTCTTTATATGTAAAAAATAATTTATAGCTTCAAATAACCAACAAACTTTGATATAGGTTATTCAAAAAAATCATTTAAATATAATGCTCTTTCTGTCAGCATCTTTAAATTTTATCTTCTTTCTTTAAAACCATCATCTCTATTCTATCCATGTGACAATTAACTAAATAGATTTAATCTTCCAAGACTGTAATATTGATACTGGAAATTACTGTCTACATATATTTTACGTCTATTAAATGTTGACAAAAACATCTTGATGTTAGGTCTATATAAGATTATAGCTTATAGTTTCACATGGTAAATATAATATATAAGGGTTTTCCTTATAAGGAGATATTCAGTATTTAGTGATCGAGTAGACAGTGTTTCCATCGGTTGAAATTTATAAAATCTTATTCATGAAACAGTTTTTTCAGAAAAATGCATTTCTCAAGGTCACTGGCTGTTATCGCCATGTTCCTTATTGATTGAGGAGGCTTAATTCCTAAGCTTTTGTTTCACATGGTGTACAACGTCAACATATTAGATATTTTCGCTTTAGTAAAATTTATATTATTTTAGTTCTTGCTGCTGTAATCAATTTTTTTGATGGTTTCTTTTATTTGTTACAGTTCATTGAATTTATGATTCTGTTATTCCGGTCCATTAGGTTCGAGAAAATATGAATCACAAAGATTGGTAACGCTTCAATCGCTCGAAACCATTTTTACTCATTGATCTGAGAAAGCGATTGTATACAGTCAACAGTTTACATATTTTTGTAAGTTTCGATCTGACGAGGCTAAATTATGACTCGAAATTATAGGTTAATGTTTTGGTTATGTAACAATTTATGGTGTTATGGGAAACTACCCTCATGGTTAGGTAAGATAAATAAAACGAAAATATAAAATAAAGTATCTTGTTATATTTAGCAGGATCTTTCTAAAATAATATTTTTAAGTTGACATGTTTCAATTTACATCGCTGTTTTTACTTTTTTTTGAATTCAGCCAAACGTGGGTGTGCGTTGTGCTGTAATGGATATCCGTTCAGAGTGAGACTTCGGAGTTCGAATTCCAGAAGAGTATCTTATATTCACTGACGTAAAAATACCCTTGGGAAAGGTATGAATATATCTCTTCTCCCCACCAGCTATAGGTTAAATAACAGGATAGATATGATTCTTTAGCCTTGGTTGGCAACCAGTCTACTGCAGAGAGAAATGACAACTTACTGCGGGAAAATATCTGCCTATTCAGTTATGTATCAAAAAAGATACATGATCGCCTAAGCGTGTATCACGTATGGCACTTACCTGTCTGTCAAACCTGATCTCACTTTATTTTGTATTGGCATTAAACGAGTTATAAAGTTCTACTAGTGTCTGTCTATATTTCTGAGATGAGGTATTATGTACACTATTTACATTACTCGGACTATTGTCCTCATCTTTGTCGCCATATTTATTACAACGTTTCGGAAAAACTTTTTCAGGTGGTTGGAATGTCGAACTGAACCCTTTATTTCGCTCACTGTTGACTGTTCTAGTTCCACGTGCCATGTTTAATGGATGTCAGTTATCAGTTATCTCCTGTTAATTCCCCTTTTTAAGTTGTCCACTGCCTTAACCGGGTATTGAACTCACACTCTTTGGGTCCTGTCACTGGATCTAACCAAAGCCTTTATCCACTGTGCCATGTGTTCTACTATGTATTTACTCGTCACCCCATAATGACAAGATGTGAGAAAAGGTCGGTTTCATGTGGGGCACTTGAACGCGTATACGCGGGCCGGAGCCCAAAATTACCCAGTCCAAGCAAGCGTCGCTTGCGCTGGCATCGGTAACGAACCTGCTTTTTAATGCAATGTGGAGGTACTGCCCCGGGCAGCTGTTTCCCGGCACTGGGCAACTTTATCCCAGCAGCGCTCTCTCCGCGGACAGAGACGCAACTGAGAGACGATAACAGTGCAATGCCAGTACAGGCTGAGACTTATTATAAAGTTTTACTATATGAAATGTTAAATTCTCGACTATTCATAATAGTGTGCTGTCAAGACAAACGAACCTAACATAGGAACAACATGAATGTTTTAAGAAAAATATATTAAAAAAGGACACTTATATTTAGACTGACTGACTGATTTATTTTCTACGGATTATCATATCAACCCGTTACAGATTATTTAAAGCCAGAGAATATTTTTAGATTGTAAGAATTTATTTATTTATTTGGAGATAATGACTTTCGTGATAAAAGTCTTTACTAATTAACTCAAAGGAGGGAGGAGGAGATCTTGATTTATACCTTTCCCAAGGGTGTTTGCGCATAACTTAATATAAAGAACCTCACAGGAATTGGAACTCGGCTCTCCAAGCCATTATCCATTACACCACCCGCGCATTAAAACTTACAGCACCTGATATTCCCAAACAATCACCCATGTAGGTACTAACCAAATTCGACGTTGCTTAACTTCGATGATCGTACAGCAACCGGTGTTTCAACGTGATGTGGCCGTAAGCATATTTAGAATCTGAAAGAGACATTTATGGGTAAACATAATGAGGAAAAAAGGATTTGAGTTTGTTCAAACAACCAACAGAATGTTTTGTTTCTTAGCATTTAGCTAGTCAATTTTTTTATAGGATTAATCAAATGTCTTTCAGAATATCTCTGGTAAGTAATTACAATAATTTCCTGGTTTTAGTTAGGTAATTTCTATAAGGTTATTTCTAAATAAATACTGGATTTTATTCATTAATCCGACAGAGTTTATCAGTTTAAATGTTATTTTTAGTGGATACTCATATTTGAGTACATGCTCCGTTTATTTATTAAACAGTATATTTTTTTCCATCTACAGGTATATTCGAGAAATCATATTAAACGAGAATACGTGCTCATCGACAGGATTCGAAACTGCGTCCACCTGGACAGAGGAAACCGTCACCAGATTCGACTTGCTTTAAACGACTCAGCCACGTTCTTCGCCGATCAGATAGGGTTAAATAGTGCCTTTAAGCGATTTCCTTCTTGAAATTTCTTAGCTGTTCAGTTTCGCATTCAAAAGTAAACAAATCAGTTTCTAAAGTAATTAATGAAATTTTATTTATAAATCCGACAGATTTTGGCTTAAACGCTTTTTTTAGCGGATTTGAATAGACGAGACGTTTATTTATTAAACAGCACATTTATTTATTTATTTTCTTCTACCGGCCTGAATATTCAAGAAAAATCTTATTAAAGTAAAACAAGCATTAAATTTCTACTTCTAGTTTCGACTACTAACAGATTTATTTGAATCAAAACCAATTAAAATAAATAAAAATATAGCAGCTACTATTCTGAGTTATTTAGATACCTATCAATCAAATTATCCATTAATGTCAAAAATAATCTAGCTAATGTCTAAGCATTCTTATAGCTCTCAGTTTTATTATCCATTAATATTGAAATCTATCGTGTTTTCGTTTTACAGTCATAGTATCTGCACCCTAAGTTTAGCTATCCTTTTGCACCTTCCAGTGGCTAGGTATTTAATTCAGAGTTGTCTTTCTCCTACACTGGTCGTCAAACTTGGCTTGAAAATCCAGTCAGTCTTACTATTTAATCCATAGCTGTGAGGGGAATGTATGGTTTCATAACTTTCCAAAGTTTATTTGCGAACTTACGGAACTCGAACGTAATTAGGGAATACCAGGTGCTGTAAGCTTGGATGTGCGGGTGGTGTAACGGGTAATGGCTCGTAATTGTTAATCGGAGAGCCGAATTCCAGTTTGGTTAGTCATATCCACTTTCGCGCAAAATATATTAATTCACCTTTTCCCCTCAGCTATGGGTTAATTAGTAACACCATTATTATCTCCCACCTCTAAAAAATTTCTTACAATTTAAAAATATTTTCTGGTTTAAATAACCTGTAAAGGTGTGATAAACCGTAGAAAACAAATCAATTGAACGGAATTCGAACACAGATCGCTGATTTTCCAAACCGCTAACCATTAACCTACCTGAATATCCAATTTACATACAACTAAATATAAATTCCTGGCTCTCTATTCTTGGAGGCGAATATTTAATTTTTTCGTGAAGATTAATTCATCTCGACATTCAACGCGACAAATTCTGAAATTTCATTGTTCGTTTCTCATCTCATTTGCCATAAAACTGAAATGATTGACAGAGCAACGAGAAGAGAGAAAGAGAAAGTAGAGTATATTAACAATGTTGTGAAAACACACACACACACGGCGATATAGTTGCGGACAGACAATTTCGTAGATAGACAGACGCATTGATTAGAATGATGGTTGCTAAATAAAGTCAAGATAGGATCGAATAACAAGTATAAATAAATTCTTACTAAGAACACAAATTCTACCAATATATCTTAAACTCACCGCTTGTACCGTGGGGAGTTTGAAACTTCAGAAAATGATTGGCCTTAATATTTAACAAGGGGAAATTTAAATTGTGTGTGCGTGTAGAAAATGACTACACGAGCAAGATAAATCAACTGATTATTTTTACCTTGCTTTGATCGATCAGATAAGGTCAAATTGGCTGCTGATGCGCACGCGCGCGTGTGTGTGTAAATATTTATATATATATATGTGTGTGTGTGTGTACATTGTATATAAAGCTTTCTTCTTTGGTAACCTTGACTTCGTGAATTTAAACGTATTACTAGATTGGCAGCAAGTTCTCATCATTTTACTATTAGAATTTGTAAATGGAATCGTTATCTTGTTCTTCTCCCCTTCTTGCTTTTCCTGTCAACTACAATCGTCATTTAAATAAAACCATCTTCTGTTTCCTTGATTCCTGGTCTTTTATTGTCATTTCTCCTCAGTAATTTTTTTTCAGTTTCCTTCAATCTCGGTAACCCTTTGCGTCTTAGTGGCTTTATTACCTTGCTTGGGCGTGAAACGATTTTAAAAATCCTTAATTTAAACGTTTTCTTAAATAGAATGGAATACGAGTTTTGTGTTTTTCTTTTGGCCTTGAATAATTCATTTGAAATCGGATGGAATCTTTAAACGAACCTTCCAATTTTGCATGCAATGTTTTGTGCATTGGCGAAAGAAGATAGCATTTGAGTGCGGCGTTTATGTTTTTAAAGATTCAAAGATTAAAATGAAAGTTAATTTATGCTGGTGGAATCGATTTTAGCGTCAAGAAAGAAAAATGACCTTTCGGTTCAAAGTTATTTTATAGATAGTGAGTGGCCATCTTTGGATGTGAAGGGACTTCAAAATGTGTATTTATACCTATCTAGATATTAAATAATTAGTATTTGGTAAGCAATCCCACTTTTATAGAGGTTTCAGTGAAGATGATGGCTCCCTTTATGATGATAGCGCTGATGATTCACCGCCAACGTGCATGTTGATGTTGAAAGCCAGAAGCTCCAGTTTCATCAAAGCCTGCCCCCGTCATTTATTCTCTATTACCGTTTGACATTGCAAGCGTTGTTTTGGAGGAGAATGAAAATCAGAGTAGAAGAAAGTGCCGATGGCGTGAATTTGTTTAAAATGGACCTCAACTTGCCAAGAAAATGATCCATAACTTTCCTCTGTGGCACATATGAAACGCGACATGCTGATTCCAATTCTGAAAGTGCAACGGTCTGCCACTGACTATGTTATAATTTCGAGTTGCGCATTCTGTAGCATGTCCATTATGCGTAGCCTTGTCATCCGCTGGTTCAACTATTGAGATCTGCTTTAATCGTCATTTTCTCGTTTCACCGTTAGGTTTTATATATATATATATATATATATATATATATATATATATATATATATATGCAAGTTCAAATACATACATGCATAAATCTGTGTATATATACATATATGCATGCATATATGTTTTATATATATATATGTTACACATTTTTGACACAATCGTCTCTCTCTGATAAATTCTTATCATTATGTTATGATCATTGGATATATATATAGCTATTTATATATATATATATATATATATATATATATATATATAATATATGTGTGTGTGTGTGTGTGTGTGTGTGTGTGTGTGTGTGCGTGCGTGCGTGTTTGCATACATATATGCCATCTTGTACAGTCCAAGGAGCAGTAAAAAATGATTTGAAAAGAAAATCGTACGAGGAAAGTGTGAGACAACTTCTTACACCGGGACAGAATGTTATAAATTTAGAGGGGAAGAAGGTCATCTTGTATATGTTTGAATATTATCCTACAATAATTATATATGTATATATTTGAACTTTATCGCACTCCTTCACGAGCTTCCGATCCTTAGCTATGATTAATTAATGATGAACATGTCATTTTCATTTATGATCGATTTCAGCACGATTCTTCTGTTAAGCCTGGAGAGTAATTATATACTCGTATTGCTCAAAGTAGAGTACAGTAGTGTCATAAAATCTTCGGAAAAAAATTCCAGTAAGATATCTTTAATCATTTCTAAGATACAACGGTTCAGAACTTCAATCTAACAATTGGACAATTTTGCTGTTACTCGGTTTGTCAATTTTCCATGTTGTTATATATATATATATATATATATATATATATATATATATATATATATATGTGTGTGTGTGTGCGTGTGTGTGTGTGTGTCTTATCATTATCATTATAATCATCATTGGATATATATATATATATATATATATATTCACATACATAAATGCATATATACCTCTATACATATATGCATGCATATATCATATATATACACACACATATTACACATTTTTGACGCAGTAGTTCCTCTCAGATAAATTCTTATCATTATATAATTACTAATGTATTACTCTGTTTTCTCTTATCTTATTCCATTGTTTGTCTAAATTTTATATTTTCTTATTAGGCAACAAATCCGATTTTGCTTTGATGAAACCGAAGGACAGTGGCTAATACTTCAAAGTCAATTTTCAGATTTCTTTAACATTGTCTAAAAGGTGACGTTAACTTGTTTGTTTTTTTTTTTTTGTTACTCAACGTAATATTTGAAATCCGGTTCTGAAGACATCCGTAAGAATCCGTACAACTATGTCTACCAGTGAAATAATTTCAATGTAGGCGTGCGTGAAGAGCGACTTATCTGGCATAAAATGCAGTCCAGGTTCTATTCGGGCGTTCCTACGTCGTATTTTTGTTTGTGGAAGGATTTAAAGAATGTGATGTGCACGAATGATCGGCTCACGCTTCTGAACACTACATGACTTTTCTCTCTCTCTTTCTCTTTGTCTCTCTCTCTCTCTGCCTCTCTGTCTCTGTCTCTGTCTGTCTGTCTCTCTCTCTCTCTCTATCTATATGGGCCGAGGAAGCCAGTTATATTGACGCTGCGTTGTTCATCTGTCATTTTCCGGGGCTGACGACGAAGCCATTCGTTCGAATCCCAAACGATCTTTACCGCGGGAGTTAAGAATCCATCGCTCCTGCTACCTTTATTCTCTTTTAAACATGACTTTCCTTCTTTCTTTTTACTCAGTTGCCTTCTTACGCAACAAATAATTCTTCTAT